CATATCCATTGGTGTACAAAAGGATTAGATAATGCAAACTACATAAGCTACATTTGCTTCCTCCGAGAGCAATTTGAGAAATATTTTTCTCTTCAACTGGCCAATACTCAATCCAGAAGTAGACAACAGAGTGTCCTAGGGAACATTTTAATAAGGAACATAAAATTAGGTACCAGATTTATAGGGAGTTCTGTTTATTTAGAACTACAGAATTTGGAACTGAAATGAAAGAGGAGAGAGAAATGAAAGAATTATAAGAAAAATAAATCCACTATCTTGGGTTTTTTGGTTCCATACTTTCCTATTTCTACATAAGAACCTAATTTTACCCCCTTTTATCTTCAAGACACCTTTAAAGAGTTGTCTCTCACTTTATTTGCACCTTCAGTTACTCCTCACAAACTGGAATATTGCTCTTGTCTACACTTCTCTTCTCAAACTGTTCTCATAGGACCATAGACAATCTCCCCTCCGCCAGAGTCAGCAGGCACACTCTCCAGTCTCCGTCCTTTTCCATCTCTGTAGCATTTGGAAATACTGGTTACTTCCTCTCATTTGAAACCCTATCCTCCTGTGCTTTCTGGGACACGAACTTCTGATTCTCCCGCTTTGCTACCCACGGTTTGTCCCTTTGTTGGTGGACACACTTTTCTCCAGAGACCTTTAGTGTTCATGCCTCACAGTTCCTCCCAGCATCGGCTCTCTGTCTCTTCCCTCTTCTTAGTTGCAAGTTAGGTCATTTCATTCACTTCTGTGACTCAAACAACCATCAGTATGCTGACACACATTTCTAGCAGGGTTCCCGATATTTTGATGTAGCCATTTTGATTCAGCCTTCAAAGAATCCTTTTTCTTTTCACTCTTACAACTAACATTCTCCTCCTACCCTGGGCTTTCTCCTGTTTAATGAGGCATGTTTTATTGTTTAACTCTAATCAACTACCCAGAAATAGTTTATAAAATGCATCAACAGTTATAGTTTCTTTGAAACAACAACAGGGAATTTTCAAATCCCTTTATAGAGCTAAGAGAATCTGACAAAAATAGTCCAAACTCAGTTAAATATAATATGAAAAACAAACATAAACCAATTATCAATGTAATTGCAAGATTCTATGTTAAATATTAGCAAGTTGAATTGAGTATTATGGTAAATTTGTGTTCTGTTTAGAAATGCAACAAGGAAAAAACACAACCATGTAAACATGCTCAGTGGTCATTTGATAAAATTTAAAATTTGTCATCATGGTCAGGCTTGAAAAACAAATAAATCTGTTTTAAATGAAAGGTTATTCATTATGGCCGTTTTCCTACTAACCAAGTACTAGTAAATGAATCTTTCTAGACCCTAGTTTCACTAATTTTTCAAGTGAGTCTGTCTAGACTGCCTTAAATCCCTGGTTTGAAGTACATCTTGTCCTTTCCTTCTTATAACATTCTTTTATCTTTGAAATTACACTTTTAACTTCTGATCTCCTCACCAGACTGAAGCCACCTTGAAGATATGCATTGTTATCTACAATGTGTAGCTTAACATGTGTGTGTACACAGTAGTTACAGAGATTTGTGGGGCCCAGTGCAAAGTGAAAATGAGAGAGCCCTTGTCTAAAAATAATTAAGAATTTTAAGACAGCAGAGTATTGCAACAAGCATTTGAGCCCTTCTAAGCACCACATGGGCCTCTATGTCAGTACACAGAACACACGCCCATTAAAAAGTCTTGTGTGTGTGTGTGAACATGTATGTATGTATGTGTGTGTATATGTTGGAATATGTAAAATAGCATTCCTGGAAAAATGGGTCATAGAAACTTCAGAAAGTATCCATAGGCAGAACAACAACTGGCATTCAGATCTCAGACTATCAAGAACAGTCACAGGTGGGTAAAAATAGTTCAGACAATTAAGAAAATATTTTCAGGTTACCAATAATTGTCTATTTTGATTGAAGACTGTAGAACATTTAAAAAGACATTGGTTAACCTTCAACAAGTATCTTAATTGACTTTCATATCTTATTTAAATTTTTCTATTACATTGTACTAATCATTCTGAGATGTTATCTTCCTTCTTAGTATTTGTGGTTATAATAATTCATGAACTTGGCATACTGTTGGCTTTTCTGCACAACTCATTGGGGCTATGAGTAAAACGAAATAGCAATCATTTCTCTAATCACAAAACATCAGCATATAAAATTTCACAAGACATTTTATCCTTGTCTTATGAAAAAAAATGTTCAGTTTATCAAAATACCAGCCACTCATTTAAGATGTTCTTTTGGAAATTTTTACAAATGGTATTCTCTAATAGACAGGGAATTGAATGAGTCATAAGAAAAAAATAGATCAGAGATCTTGAGTTTCTTGGTTCCATTCTTCCTTACTTCTATATAAGAACCCAATTTTATCAATTAATACATAAACTAGAGGCCAGATGCACAAAATTCATGCAAGGGCTCAGCGCCCCCCGCCCCCTCTGCTGCGGCTTTATCTGGTCTAATCAGCATATTACCATTTTATTATTGTACATAGACTCTAGCCTCTCTCATGCATAATAACTTGATGTGGTGAGAGTGTGCCCACTTTCATGCAACAACAAAAATTCCAAATCCTTTATGAATATGTTCGAAGAGAGTGAGGAATTTACATCTCTCCTGGACCTGAATAATTTCACCTCATGCTCCCCAAAGTTCACTAATGACAGGTTTTGTGGTGATTGGGGGGGGGGGGGGAGAAGATGATGGAAATTATTTCTCCTGAGGAAGTTATTGGTAGATGATCTTTTATTTGTCCCTGAAAAGTAAAACATAAAAGTGCAAGCTGATGCAATGTCTGTGCCTCAATGCCACTGTCAGGGATTTTAAGCAAATAAATAGCCAGCCTAGTGTGCTTGGGCACAGAATTCCCAGTAAGGATTCCGTCTCCACGGCGCACCTCACTCTTGGTTCCAGTCACATGGCAACACTCAGCTTTGTCCGCCCATCCCTCTCCTGTTCTCACTGGCCTCCTCCTGTCCATCTGCCCTCACATCCTCTCTTTCATCCATGTTCTCATTCACACTTTGTCACTCCATGGTTCTCTCTCAGGCTGTCCCTGGGCAGTGCTGTCTGAATGCTCTGAAAGCTAGATACTGTTCCCAGTGGGAGGGAGCTTGGCTGGGACAGGGGAGAAGCAGGCCAGGGTGGCTGGAGCCCAAGTCAGAGGGGGCAGCAAAGCCCAGGTCACCCAGCACCTCAGGCCTGGGACAATGCTAAGGGCCAGAGGATAGTCTCAGAGGGTGGCGAGTGTAAATCAGGCACCCTGCCGCTGAGAGGGGGGGACCATCCTGGACAGCAGGGTATTCGTGGTGTGCCCATGGGCAATCCTGGAGGACCGAGGCTGGATTCGGGTTTGTTCCAGAAGCAGAGCTGACTGGACCTGCCTCTGGATTGGATGTGGAATGTGAGATTAAAAGGAATGAGGGATCCAAGTTTCAGGTTTGAACAACTCTTCTCACTCTCTTTCATTGTTGTTCTCTCCTCCGCTCCTTTTCCTCACATCTTATAGACTGGAATGATCCTAGCCCAGGCAGCTCAGAACTCACAGCCTTATGACTGTCCGCACGCTGGGGCAAAGGCGTGCCCACAGGACACCGGGCCCTGTCTCCTCCTGGCATCAGTTCCGAAGTTCTTTCTAAGAACTTCTAACGCCGAGTTCCAGGCACGCACCGCGGAACCAGAATGGGACGGGCTTGTGTCTAAGTACTGTTACCAACTAGCAAAGTGAGCTCTGCCAAGATACTCAAAGCCCACATTTGGGAAGGGCAGGTAAGAAAACCCAGTCCAGAGCCAATGACCCACACGTAACAGCCCTTATTATCAGAGTTATTATAACCATTACACTACCCACCTTCACTTAAGCAGAGTTTCTGCAAAATATCAGAAACCAAACCAAAGCAGAACAGTCATAGCTAACTAGTTCAGGCCTGGGGCGGGGGAGGGGGGGAAGGATGGGGTGTGGTATTAACTCCTCAGTAACAAGCGGTCCAAAAGGAAAGCGTGCTTTCTTAGCCAACTCAGATAAACGTCAAAGTCATGGTTATTTAACTGTGATAGACTCCACTTCCCCCGCCTCGTTGAGGCTCTGATTCCCACGGCCACAAAGATACGGCAGGTGGACCACAGGGTTACTTCCGTGCGGTATCCCCTGGGCAGGTGCACGCACCCAGATGGCAGAGAGGGGCTGCTGGTCGGGATTCCAGGGCCTGAGGGCAGGACCCTCTCTACCTCCTCAGTTCCCTTGTCCATGAACTTGGCGTCCTGTTGGCTTTTCTGCACAATTCGCTGGGGCTGTAAGTAAACGGAATAGCAATCATGTCTCTGATCACAAAACACCAGCCTATGACATTCCACAAGACGCTGTCCTTGTCCGCCACACCCACAGCAGGAGTGCGCCGCCCTCCCCGCGGCCTCAGCCCGCACTCGCCCGGCTCTCGCCCTGCACCTGTGTGGCCCGTGGACGCGGTGGCAGCCTATGCTTTGCGACCCCAGCGGCCTCGGTCGCAGTGGCCTGGCTCTGCCAAGGCGGTTAGAGGTCATCGGCAAAGTGTCCCGCCCGGAACCCCCGGGCCCTCCCGCGGCGCCCTCCTCCGGCGGCGGCCGCGGTGCCCAGGACGCGTCCGGGGAGGACGCAGGTGCGCGCGGGAGGGGAGGGGGGCGCTGGCAGCTGGAACCTGCAGCCCCGGCGCGAAGTAGAAACTGAAAGTGCACTGCGGCGGATCCTACGGAAGTTCTGGGGAAAAGAAGGCCGAGCCCAGAGCAGCCGTGGCGTGCGCCGCGCCCCCTGGGATGGATGCAGCGGCGGGCGCGGCGTGGGGCAGAGGAACCGGCCGCAGAGACGGCCGCCCGGCCCGCCTCCCGGCGCCGCCGCGCAGCCCGGGGTCCCGGCAGTGACCATGGCCTGCGAGAGCCCGCTCGAGCTGCAGCCGCGGTCATCATGACCACGCCGCCCCCCGCAGACCATGGTCCATGGTAAGCGCCCCGCTCCGCTCCGCGCCCCGCTCCGCGCACAAGTCCAAGTCCGCGCGCCCGGCACGCACGCCGGGGGCTCGGGCCCCGCGCCCAGGCGCGTCGGGGAGCAGCTGGGCCCTGCCCTTTGGACCCGCCGGGCGCACCGGCTCTCCCACGGGCAGCGGAGCCGCGCGGCGTCCCTGGCCCGGAGCCACCGGCACCTGGGCGGCCGGCCCGGCCCCGGCGCAGCTTCCGCGCCGGCCGTCGGGGGAGCCGGCCGCGGGTCTCCGGGGGGAGCCGGGGCTCCGTCGGTCCCCAGGTCGGTCCCCAGGTCGTTCCCCAGGTCGGTCCCCAGGACGGTCCCCAGCCCCGCTGCCCTCGGTCCCCTCGCCCAGCTCCCCGGCCCTCGCTCAGGGCGCGCCCGACGGCTACTCACGGCGCGGGCGGCGGGCGGCGGCTGGAGCGCCAGCGGCCCCGGCTCCGGGAGAAGTGAGAGCGCGGCGCCCACGGGCGGCTTTTAAACCCGGGGACCGGTCCCTGGAAAGCCCCGCTGTCCTCCCGCCGCGGGCCGGGGAGTTTCCGACGGGGCCGGACCGAGCGCCTTTGCCGGGAACCAGATCCTCCCGCCGTCCCCGCGAGCGGCCAGTGTGGGGTTTCTGTTTCTTGCTATTTGGGGGCTCCTTGGTAGCGACAGGATTAAATATGCATAATTCCAAATGATAGACTCTTGCTGAGATCGCATCTATTTTATCTCTGCCAAATGCGGACTTCACATGGACCAGGGCAGAGGGGGTTTGCTGGGCTCCGCTGGCAGCCAGTGCAAAGAACCCCAAAGTTTACTGGAAGGAGAAATGAGACAGAGAGAAGCGAGGGAAACGGATCTGCTGGGGGAACCTGGAATACTTTCTCCAGCCAAAGGAGCCTGAGGGTGTAGGGGAGGGTGCGGGCGAGGGTGCGGGCATAGGGAGCCTGGTTGATGCCTGGTTTGTGCACTTTCCTGGCTCCAAGGGATCAAAAGAGCTCATTCCCTTCTCACCGAATGAAAGAATCAAGAATCGTAGTAGCCCAGAATTCCCGGATCAGTGAGGAAATAAAGGGGCGGGGGTCACAGGGTAGAAGCCGATTTGGAGGGGTTTATGATGGGCGTCCTCAGGAGGTTGGTGGAGAGATAGAAGTTAGGTTGTATACCGCCCTGTGCTGCCCTGGCCAGGTGGCTCAGTAGGTTGGAGCATCTTCCAAAGCATCAAGAGTCCCCGTGCCATTCCGGTTTTGAGGGCACACACACAGGTTGTGGGTTTGATACTTGGTCAAGGTGTGTTCAGGAGGCAACTAGTGTTTCTCTCCCAAATCAATTCTTTAAAAAGAACTACTTAAATCTGTTTTAAAACTTAGGTCTATCCCTGTTTTCCTTACACTGCCCACGGGTCTCCTGCAGTTTCCCTGCCTGGATCCCTCTGGTTCTGTCTGCTCCTTGTGGCCTGAAGAGAAAGCTGAAACAAAGAAAGGAAGCTAGGGTGTCCGTCATGAACAAGGAGCCTTTAATTGCTGAAACGTGTCTGTATAGATCATGTACCATAAAGTATCAGCAATGCCGGAACTCTAAACTTTGAATAATGAATGCAAGTGACTTTCTGCACATTTTTCCCCCAATAGATTTCACTAGAAGCTTTATCCTTTTTCTTTGCTCCTTCTTTGGGAGTTGAAGTTACTGAAGACCTATTATGTGGTCCTCAACTGTGCTGAGTACCAAAAAAAAAAAAAAAAAAAAAATGGATTAGTAAGAAAAACAGCAACCTGAGAAAGATTAGAAATCCTGAACAAGCACCACATCAATGTTGAAACATCTTAAACAAAACGGAAAAGGCCACTTTGTAGGACTAACTTAGATGTCATATTCACATGTGAGATTTTTTTTTCTCCCTTCACCTCTGCCACATACCCTGGCATGTCCTTCTCCTGAGAGGAGAGGAGGATGCGGGTCCAGAGCTTGGCCAGGAAGTACCTCGGTGAGTCCACGAGGAGCAAGGTGAGGTGGTGCACATTCCCTTTGACCACACAACAGTTTCTTTGGGAAGCAGGGTAGCTTGGTGGCTAAAAGCCGAGTTTCTAGACTCTTCCACCTGGCACACCTGGCTTTGAATCTTGCTTATCAGGCAAACAAGATTCTTTGGGCTCCAGATTCTTCATCTGAAAAAAATACTAATAATTAGCATATTAGAATATAATACTTGCCTCATGAAGTGGTTGTGAAATAGGATATGCAATGTCATAGGTTGATTTCAGAAATGTCTAAGTATTTATCATGGGATTTGTGGATGGAATTTACATTCCAGTCTGAACATACTTGGACCAGTTATTAGATTTCTTTATGATGTGAGCATCATCAGATTCATTTTTGCAACCTTAAAAGCTGGTTTCCATACAACAAATGTCTGTTTTCCACTTTTTATTATCATTTTCTTTATTCACCCATTTGCTTGTGCCAGTTGACCAGATTACTACTAAAGTCTTATACACTCATGTCTTCCAGTCCAACAGGAATGTCTTTTGACCATTTTTTTTTTCAAATTCCCAGTGAAAGCAAGTCTATGCAATGTCTATAATGGATAATCAATTAACACTTATTGATCTTCAAGGCTGATGAAAAATTGAATTGGATGGATTGTAGGCACTAACTTATTTATGTTCACTTTGACCCCATAACTTAAGTAGTTGAGGATTGAATGTATTATTTGGCTTACATTAAAAACCATCAAGAATTTCTAGACAGCCATCATTTTGGTTTAACCAGATTCCCCTCTGAAAACAAATTCTCCAGTTTCAATCCCTTCAGGAGATCTAAGGAAAATTCCACAAGCCTCAGCTCGCCTTGCATTATTCCTTATGGTTTATCTTTTCTGTAACCTAAGGAAAATGGCAAGATTGGGGGAAGTGTGGGTATCTATATATACTCTGAAACAAAACAAAATAAGAGTTCTTTTCCTACTGGGGCAATGGTAAAAGCAACATTCATGTTACTATCTCCATGAGAAAAAACTTCCATTACAGACCAAAGTGCAGGTCATGAGGAGCTGTGGGTCCGAAGCCCGGGCTGCATTTGTCCAGGAGGCAATTTCAAATCTAAAGAGTTACTGCATTTCGATGGCCAGGTACATTATGACAATTTCGGGTGTTTGAGAATCGGAAGGACATGGAGGGACCATTTAGTCTAAAGTTCTCATTTTACAAATCAGGGGAGTGAAGCTTAAAAGATATTCTGTCATTCGTTCAGTCAACAACTTAACATCACACCAAGACGAAAGCCCCATCTTCACTCTGCAAGCCCACGGCACTCTGCTTTATCTCAGTCTGTCTGGGGCTAACTTATTTAACAACAATGGCAACAAAAGACACCCTTTACCGACAAGTTCAATTATGTTTTAGAATTTGTAATTAGTTGTGATACATGAAAGAACACTGAGTTTTCCACCAAGTCGTCATTGATGAGATGCCTCTCAATGAATAAACAGGCTGATGGGAATTTGGAAGCACTGATTACTGAAAGTTGGGGTGAGGAGGACACCCCATATAGAATATATACTCTATATAGAACATAAAACAACCTCCTTTGAAATAGCTTTGATATAGAATGGTAAAAATTTTTTTATGCTGGTACTTATTACTTTATTGTATTTATCTCCCTTAAAGGTCATGTCAAGTTACATGATCTATAATCTTTCCTTTATCATCTACTCCTCCCAGCATGCACCACGTGGGCATCTGGAAGGTGACACAGAAAAGGTCATCTCTCTACTATGCATAGAAGTCTGATTATAAAGTTAGGATCTGGTCAATCGTTAGTTGATCCTGCTTGAGAATCTTCAGGATGCAGGAACAGAAGTAGAAGAAGGCTTCAGAGCTGGAAACTACTACATGGAAGTGGTTTGCATTCGGACCAATGTGCTTGCATGTTAACAAAAGATTATAGCCATTTCTGATCAAATCCTGGGGAGGCAGCAAGGTCAGGTTAAAATCCAGACCTGGCAGTTACTACCTCTGTTTCAGAAAAAGATGAACTTGCAAAACTCTTGGTCTTCAGAACTACATAGTATGTAGATGACCTTAACAATGCTTGCTTGGCACATGGTAGGTGTTCAGTGAAAGGTAATGGGTGTCCTCATTATTATTCACCTCCCAAGTGGATTATTGCTTGACACGTATGTAGATATTTCTTGGCAAAGCAGTGAATGGAATCCATGTCTCATTTTGTTTCTCTTGCCTTGTCAAGAGTCAGTGACATAAGAGGATGAGATTCATGGAGGATCCATGTTTGTTCCCAGATCTGCTTCCCAGCCTACTCCCTCTGTGTGTAAAATATGGGTCATCAATAGCACATAATTTACTGGGGAGTGCTACCGATTCTTACATGATGGATAATGATAGCATGAACGACAATGTTATTGGAAACTTTTGTGATATTTTTAACAGTCTTTAGGTATTTGTCACGATATCAGTACCTTGTGTTCTTAGCGATATAGTTTGTCTTCTTAATCAGAGAAGGCACACATGTGAAATGACTTGCACTCAACAAGTGCAGTGGAAGTTCATTTGGGAAATTCACAGGAAAGATGTTGTCAGCATAGCCCAAGAGTTTCCAGAAAGATGCAGAGAAGATACTCTGACAGGCTTATGAAGAACCAAGTTCCTAGATAAGCAAGTTTTCATGTCTCTGGGAGCCACAGGCTTTCTGTTCAGTCTGTTACTACCGCCCCAAATCATTCATTTATAATTTCATTCTTTTTTATTAGATAACTAGAGGCTGGTGCACAAAATTCGTGCAAGAGTAGACCTTCCTCACCCGGCTACTGTCACTGGCTAGCCTCTGGCACCCAGGCCTCGGGCTTCCCTCACAGCCCTGGCCTCGTCCAGAAGGTCATCCGGAAGGGTGTCCGGTCTAATTAGCATATTATGCTTTTATTATTATAGATTCTTTCTTATTAAATACTTGCCCCTAATTAGGAAGGCTTATAAAAAACAGATAGAAATCATTAATTAACAGGGTGTGAACTTATTTATTGGGCTTTTCTAACATATCAAGAAGCTAAACAGATCAGAAGAGAATAGGGGTTCTGGGTACTTAGAGACAGAAGCTACTGAAAAGATAAGGAGTCTAAAATATAATGTCAATGCTGCCAGTTCTGGGAAGGGAAAACCATCACTAAAAAGCAAAAATATAATCACTGAGTCATAGCATGGGATCAACCTGCGACACCACCTCAGGAAGCTGCTGGATGCTTGGACAACTATTGGGTTTCCATATGCAGTCACGTGCCATAGATCATAAAATGTGTAACTTTTTCACCTGTCCTTATTTACTTGTTCGCCTGTAGATGCCTTTCCTTGTGGGGATGTTCAACTTAAGTTGAAATTGGATAAACTGAATTCACATCCTGGAGTGTTTTCCAGAAGCAAAGAGACTCTACGGGCACCCACCACTGCGCTGCACTTTCCCAAACAGTAATTCCTGGTTAAAACACTACAGAAACTCAGACACTAAACATCTGCCCTGCTTTGGGTGTTACTTAGTATTGAGTTTCAGAGTTCCCTCCAACTCTATCCAAAACCGGGGATACATATGTACAAGGATTAGAAATACTGAAACGCCACCACCAAATCAGATCACATGACAACATTTAGCTGGTTCTTATGTGCTGTTGTCTTCAGTTTCTTTCAGGTATATCTTTGGAATTCCTCCCCTGATCCTCGTTCTGTTGCCAGTCGCGTCATCTGATTGTGAGCTTGAAGGTAAAAGCGGCGAAGAGTACCAGAATGTCATCATGGTCAGCCTCAATGACCTGGTACGTGACCCTTTGGCTTTCTCACATTGTAACTCATCGGGAAAATGTGATAGATGCTGTCGCTATGCAATTTTATACTCAAGTTTCCATTTATAATTATTGAAAGTGGACGAGCTAAGGGATGAAATTCAATGAGCTACTAACTATGTATTTTCATAGCTGGCTATCGTTACATCCTTTAAAAATAATTCTTTCTTAGACCTTCAGACTCCCACAACTGGCCCCCTCAGCCCCACCACCCTTCATGTCTCATGAGCATAATTTAACATAACTGTCTGCATTCCTCACCTCCCATTAGCAGTCAGTCTCTGTGGAACCAATGTATCAGGAGAGGGGAAATAACAGAACAGAACATTGAAAAGGTATCATGGAAAGAGATATATAGCTATTTTATCTAAATATGTGAACATATATATAGTTTGTATTTTATACATGTATACATATAATTTGATATGAGTAAGTTTTTCTATTTACTATGGACAATTTTTATAGTAGATTCTATTTTATAATAGTTGTAAGTTTTTAGGAAAGATGAGCAGAAAGTAAAGAATTTCCAGATGCCCACTGTCCCTCTGTACAAGTTTCCCTATTATTTACATCTCGCATTCTTGTAGTACATTTGTTATGATTGATTGAACTAATCTTGATACATTATTATTCATTAAAGCTGATCATTGACATTAGGTTTTGCTCCCTGTGTTGTTCATTTTGTGGGTTCTCACCAATGCAAAATGTCATGTGTCCGCCACAACAGTATTATACGGGATGGTTTCACTGCCCCTGAACATCCCCTGTGCCCGCCGGTTCCTCCCTCAGGCCCTTCTCTTGAACCTAAGGCAACCCCGGAGCTGTTTGTGGTCTCTGTAATTTTGCCTTTCTGGAATGTCATGGAGTTGGAGTCGTGCCCTGGGTAGCTGTTTTAGGCTGGATTCTTTCATTAGCAATATGTAGTTAAGGTTCCCCCATGGCTCATTGCGGCTTGATGGTTCGTCCCTTTTATTGTCAAATAAAATTCCATTGAATGGATGCATCTCCACTTGTTTTTCCATTCACTGACAGGACTTATCTTGGTTGCTCCCAATTTTTGGCTCTTATGAATAAACCTTGTATAGACATTCACATGCAGTGCTTTGTACAGATGTACAAACTGAGTTTTTGAATCATTTGGGTAAATTGCTGTCTTGCAATGACTGGATTATGTAGAAAGACCATGTGGAGCTTTGGGTAGTATGGATATTTTAATGACATTGATTCTGCTAATATACAAACTTGATATATTCTACTTGATCCTCTATCTCCCTTTCAACATCCTGTAGTTTTGTAAGTATAAGTCTTTTACCTTCTTGATTAAATTTCTTCCTAAATATCTTAGTTTTGTTGTTGTTGTTGTTGTTGTTGTTGTTGTTGTTGTTGCAATGGTAAATGGGGTTGTTTTTCAGTTCCTCTATCTGAGAATTCATTATTGGTATATAAATATGTCATCAATATCTGTGTGTTAATTTTGTATCCTGCTACATTGCCAAATACATTTATTAAATTTAGTTGTTTTTTGGTGGAGTCTTTAGAGTTTTCTACTTTACAATATCATGTCGTCTGTGAAAAAAGAGAATTTTGTTTTCCTTCCTCCCTTCCAATTTGTCTGCCTTTTATTTCTCCTTCTTGTCTGATCGCTTGGCTAGGACTTCCAGTATTGTATTGAATAAGAATGGTGAAAGCAGACATTCCTGTCTTGTTCCTATTCTTATGGAACATGGTTTTCATTTTTGCCCTTTGAGTATGATGTTGGCTGTATGTTTGTCATATATGTCCTACATTATGTTGCGGTATGATCACTCTATTCACACATTGCTGACAGTTGTATCAGAAAAGGGTGTCATGCTTTTTCTGCATTAATTGATATGATCATGTGATTTTTGTCTTCCAATTTGCTTACGTGATGCATCACATTTATTGATTCATGAATATTGTACTAGCCTTGTAACCTTGGAATAAATCCCACTTGGTCATGGTGTATGATCTTTTTAATGTATTGTTGGATCTGATTTGCAAATATTTTGTTGATGATTTTAGCATCTATATTCATCATGGATATTGGCTTATAATTCTCTTTCTTTGTAGTGTCTTTATCTAGTTTTGGAAAATGAGATAATTCTGGCCTCATAAAAAGAACTTGGAAGTGGCCCAGCTGGTATGGCTCAGCAGTTGAGCATTGACCTCTGAACCAGGAAGTCACAGTTTGATTCCAGTCAGGGCACATGCCCAGATTGTGTGCTTGATCCCCAATGTTGGGCATACAAGAGGCAGCCGATCAATGATTCTCTCTCATCATAGGTGTTTCTATCTCTCTATCTCTCCCCATTCCTCTCTGAAATCAATATAAATATATTTTTTAAATGAAAAACTTGAAAGTATTTCTTCATCTTGGATTTTTTTTAATAGTTTGGAGAAGATATGTGTTATAAAACTCTCCTATGAAACCATCTAACCAGTGAAGTTTTTTTTATTACTACTTCAGTTTCATCTGTTGTTATTGGCTTATTCAAGTTTTCTGATTTTTCCTGATTCAGTTTTGGAATATTGTATTTTTCTAGGAATTTGTCCACTTCATCCACATTGTCCAGTTTGTGGGCATCTACTTGCTAATAGTATTTTATATAAGCCTTTGTATTTCTGTGGATCAGTTGTTACTTTGCCCATTTCATTTTTTATTTTGTTTATTTGGATCCTCTCCCTTTGTTTCTTGATGAGTTTGGCTAAAGGTTCATCAATCTTGCTTATCTTTTCAAAGAACCAGCTCTTGGTTTCATTGATCTTTTATATTTTTTAGTTTCTACATTGCAAACCCATCAGGACCTGGTGCTTTCTTCTTTGGAAGGCTATTAATTACTGATTCTATTTACTTAGTAGACATAGGCCAATTAAGGTCATCTACTTCTCTTACATGGATTTTGGTCACACATGATTCTTGAATCTTAAAATACTTGTAGGTGATACCAAAAGCAGCAGAACAGGGTTGGAGAGAGGGTCACCTTGAAAAGGAATGTAAATAAGAAACCAATAGGCTTGGTGTGGTTGGACTATGGGATGCAAGATAAGAACCAAATCCTCAGAGGAAGCCCAGGTCACTCAGTGCTGTGTCCACCATTCAAAGGAGTCTAAGCTTCAGGAAGCCACTGGGAAGTTTAGGGGGAAGACATTCAATGTAAATGCAATAAGTATAATACATGTTGAGAATAGAAATATTTGTCCTGTGTATTTATTGCTGTACCAGGAGAGGGAAGAAGAGGGAAACATGGATCATTTGCCTCCCAACCAGAGACTGAACCTGCAGCCTTTGGTGCAGGGGACAATGCTCAACCTAGTGAGCCACCCGGCCAGAGCAATTAGCTATCATTTCTAAGTTACATATTTTACTTTAGAATCCATGATTGAACATTCATTTTAATGATAAATAAAGCAATTGTCTGCCTCATGGAAAAATGTATTTTCACTGGATCCCTCAGTTAAATTGCTTTACTGGGAACCAGCATCGCAGTGCAGTGTGAGGGACCCTGAATGAGGGATCAGAAGACCTAGTTTGTTACTAGCTTTGTTCTTAGCAAGCGTTGTGATCTTGGACACCTCATCTAACCTCTTTGGACTCTTCAGTCCCCTATAAACTATGGAAATGGAATTATCTCAGAGATATCTCATAGTGCTCAAAATTTTTGAGACATGGAAAAAAATGTCACCTTCTTTTCTTCTTTTCTCCTTCTTTGCCTTCCTCTTACTTTTTATTGCTGACCTGTCTTGATTATTTTCCTCCTTTCATAAATATTCATCAACCCCCTACTATGTGAAATGCTCTATGTCAAGTTCTTCCAAATAATAATAATAATAATATTAAGTGGTCTCTAGTGAACATATAATCAAGGATTGGAGTGAAATTTATTCAGAAATAATTATCTTATAAAGCAACAAATAAGCCATACTTGTAGAAGAAAAGACTCTTCCTTACCCCATTGAATAGCACTGGTATCCTTTGACCCTATCTGTATGGGTTTATTTCTGAACTCTTCGATTCTATTTTAATATGTTTTTATTGCCATTGATTTGAAGTAAATTTTGAAATCAGGAAGTGAGAGTTCTTCTAGTTTCTTCCTTTTCAAATTTGTTTTGGCTATTTCAGGTCCCATACAATTCCATATGGATTTTACAATCAGCTTTTTCAATTTATAAAAAGAAGTAAGTTGTGATTCTAATAGGTTTTGTTGCACTTGTAGATCAATTTGGGGAGTATTGTCTTTTTGATAATGCATAACAATGGTTATGATCCATGAATACAGGACAATTCCCATTTTTTTAGATATTTAATTTCTTTCAAAGAAGTTTTGTAGTTTTTAGAATGTAAGCTTTGAATTTCTTTTGTCAAAATTATTTTTAAGCATTTTATGTGTCTTTTATGCTATTGTTATTGTAAGTATAATCACTTTCTCAAATTTTTTTGAAATTTATTATCCTTAACTCTGTACTCCTTGCATACTTACCTAAATTTGTATCTTATAATTCCATACTAGGCTATAAGTATCTCAAGGACAGTTTATGTTTGATTCATCTTTGTATCCCACAGAATACTCAGTGCACCACTTTGCACCTGGTATTTTTCCATATAAACAAAAATATGAATTATAATAATATATGATAAATAATATATGAATTGTAAATCACATATTTATATTGTATGTTAATGAGAACATGAAATTTGTTTCAAATAGGTTAGGAAATCTTTTTCTTGGACATTTGTTTCTTTGAAAACCCATCATGAATCCAATGTCAGTTACTTTTTTGATATTTGATAACAACTAGTTTGGGATGTTATACATTATTAGAGGCCTGATGTGCAAAATTTGTGCACTTGATGGGGATGCTCAGCCCAGCCTTCACCCTCTCCAATCTGGGTCCCCCTCACCTGGTTGCCCCCAACTTCCCTCCCCTGCAGCCTGGGTCACCCTCAATTGTCT